AAATAATTAAAATATCCCTAATTATGAAGGGGTGTGAGATAAGCACCCCAAACTTTTATATGTAATTTAAATATCCCAAACTTATATAAAATGATATTTTAACACCATGATCGTGTATCATTTCTTTCAAAAATGTAAATTTATGATATTAATTGCATAATTTAAAATATCAAATTGAAAACTTTGCAATTATATACAGTGGGAGTTAATACTTTTTATTTTACAATGGAAGTTTAGAATGTTAATTGTATCTTCATGAATGCTAAAATATTTTAAATTATGAAATTAACATAAAAAATTGACATTTAAGAAAAAAATAATACATGACTAAGGTGCTAAAATAACTATTCATATAATCTTTGGGGTAGGGTACGGCTTTACCGCCGCCTAGGGTAGGTTTCGAGTTTTCCCTTCTTCTCGTTTTCAGCCATTGATTCAGGCTTGAGACAGAACGGAGGTGGGTGTTTTTGTTCTTCTTGGCAAGTTTGATTTCGGCTTTGCTTAGTTTCTTTGTTCTCGGCAAGTTTGACGACTTCAGCACTTTGGTTTGTTTTGTTCTTGGCTTTTGAGACGGACGAAGGTCGGTAGCACAAAGGCAATTGGGCAGATAAAAGCTATGGAGGATGTGGTAGAACAGTATAGAAGATTGGCTTTGGAGAAAGAAAACAGTAGGCTGAATTTTGATGATGAGGAGGAAGAGGATTCCGTGCCAAATGCAAAGGCAGTGGGGTTTCCGGTGGTGGGAGTCATTAATACAGACCGGAAAGTCAGATCTCAGGCAGTACATGAACTGTTTACATCGCTCTGGAGGCCTGGAAGAGGAATGACCGTCCAAGAGATTGATGAAAAGAGGTATCTCTTCACTTTTAATCATAAAATTGATATGAATCGTGTTATCGAAGATGGTCCTTGGTTGTTTGAACGAAATTTGGTACTGCTAAAGGCGGTTGGCCCTAATGATATACCTCATAAAATGGACTTATTTGAAGCAGAGTTCTGGGTGCAAGTGCACAACGTGCCTTATAAGTTTATGAATGTTGATACTGCTAGGAGGGTGGGTAACTATATTGGGGAATTTATTTGTTTTGATGAGAGCCACTTTAAGGAAAAGTGGAGCTCTTATTTGAGGGTTAGGGTAAAGTTGGATGTGAGAAGTCCCCTAAAAAGGGTTCTACTTTGACCAAGAGAGGGGAAGGACACTGGGTAGATTTTAAATATGAAAAGCTTCCAAGTTTCTGTTTCATTTGTGGGATTATGGGGCACTCTGAGAAATTTTGCCCTTTAAAATATGTGGAGGATCTCGTTTTGGAGACAAATTTTAGTGCTGATCTGAGAGCAGGGGGTGGGGGGAAGATTAGCCCCACAAGGGGTGGTACGTGGTTGATGGATAAACAGGGAGGCCCGAGTCATCACAGGGGAATTCAGCAAGACGACGAAGGAACTATGAGACAGGGTCGTAAAGGGAGCACAGCTGAGACAGAAAGTAGTGGCACAAAGGAAGAGAATAGAAGTGGTGCAGGGGAGGTCTCAGTGGATCAGAAGCGCAGGAGAGTCTGGAAGGATCCAGCAGAGGATAACAACTCAGAAGAGGAGATGGCACTGGACAGCACAAAAAATGGGGAGGAGGCGGGCCTCAGCTCTTAGGCCCGCCTGAGGTGGTCGTGAAGATGTGGATGCAGCAGTTCCACGGTGGTTCTTATTTTAGCATTGCTTTAGTTGTTTCGTTTGGCGTTCAGACTGTTGTTTTTGCTATTTGTTTTGTTTACTTTTGTAAGACTCTCGCATTAGGCTCGGGTGACGAGTGTGCTGCAGTAACCATTGTTGGCTCAATTATGCCCATTTTAGGATCAGCGAGTTATACTGCTTTCTTGAAGGCGGTTAACTCAGAGTCTGGCCCAAGGGCGGATGGTTATCGGTGGTACTCTTGTTATTCTATATCCTTGCTGAATGCTTTTATTCTAATATAAGCCCCCTTCATCCAAAAAAAAAATTATAATCTTTGGGGTATTTAAATTACATATGAAAGTTTGGGGTGCTTACCTCACACCTCTTCAAAGTTTGGGGTATTTTAATTATTTCTCCCTACTCTCAAATGATAATTTAATAATCAAATATAAAAAATAATAACATCACAATTATCATCATTGACTCCATTATATTATATACCCATCAAGATATTTGCTCTGTCTGTTTCCATCTCCTCTTCCCCTTAGGTAGGACGCAATCTTCACCACACTGTTCTTCTAGTATCACGAGCATGATGGATTTATCGAATCCTGCGGTGTTTGTCAATGCTGAGATACTACGTATGGATGTGGGATGGAAGGTTCGAGCAGTGATTCAGTTTTCTTTGCAAGTTTGTGCTGTAATGAAGTTTACCACTATTATTACAAGTAAATAATGAAATAAAAGGTATACATTACAAACATTTTTTCTCATAAATGGTACAACTTTTGTTCAACATGGAGTCTTGTTTAAACATGATTACATAGTTCAAAATGGTTATCCAATTTTTTTACATGGATTCTACTTGTAAACTAAACATCACATTTTCTCATTTAACACTCGGAAGTAAAGGTTTGATTGATTTTTATCTCTTGAGTCTTTGAGCATTTTAGATTTCCGTCTTCTGTATTGGTCAATTGAGCTTCCCAAATTCCTTGCTTCTTCTGAGCGAGAACATTTTCGCTCATGACATCAATGCCTGCAAAGAATTCCTGAAAATTCAAACATCAGAAAAAACAGAAACACACATACCCACATACTTGGTAAACTAACATATAAATTAAATTGTGTATAGCTTGAAAGCTTCCAATTAGAAAGCACAGATGGTGACAACTTCTAATATCAATATCACAAGATATATATCAATGAATCAACAAAGACTACCCGCAATAAATTTCCACAGGTCGGCAGGTCCTAATAAAGAATGTGTAGAGAAACTTGATAAACTGTATAGCTTTGAGATGTCAAGCCTCAACTTTCAAGTTTTGCTTATTGAGCTTATAGCATGATAAATTTATTTTCAGAGAGAAAACATAGATTTCCAGTGCAAAATAAATTTAAGAAATTTAAACAAAGTTGTAAACTAGAAAACATTACTTATAGCAACTGAACAATATGGTCCTGCAGTTTTTGATATCCCAATAACCTAATAATTAAATAAGAGTAAACAATAAATATCTGATGTGGCAACATATGTAACCCATTCTTCACGGACTTGTAAAATGTCTTCTTCAGAATACTCACCCGCTGCACAAAACTTTAATGCAACAAAAAATTAACACTCCAATTAAATTACAACACCATAACACAATAATAATACTTCAATTCACATTCTTCTTCAACAAACTGACATCATTAATGATGTCTTTAATGTACTTCATCACGAAATATCCACATTCTGTGGATCCTGTTTGCACAGGGCACTGCACTTATTCAACTAAAATTAGCATCCATAACTATAATCAATTGAATAAATATTCAAACGCGCATTGTTAATACCACGACTCTATTTGGTCCAATTTGACTTCATCCTACTTGACTGTGATGCTTGATACATTTTCAATCCTCTAATAAAACATTGTCATTTACAAAATTAAACGATGCAATTATCATATTTATTAAAAATATTGTGGTTAGAGGTGCAAATGAGCCAAGCCGAGGCGAGCCCGAGCATGGGTATGCTTGAGCTTGAGCTTGATAAGTATTCACGAGTTCGAGCTCGATCTCCAGCTTGGACGAGTTAAATAATTCGAACTCGATCTCAAACCGAGCTCGGCTCGATCTCCATTCGAGCTTGGTTCGAGCTCGGGTTAAGTTTCACTAATTAATTTTTATAGGTTTGAAATCGAATAAGATGCTCGAACTCGAGTTAAAAACATTATATGTGTACTTATTCATTCTCATTTATAGTTTATCTCTCATTTACTAACATTTTTATTCTTTATTTTACTGTCAATAAATATTAAGAGTACATATTATAATTATTACAGATCGATTGTGGTTATAATAATAATACGACACACATGCTATTATTTTTGAAATTACTACTATTATAATATACTCTGTGATAAGTATTGAAAATGGAATAGTCCTAAATTAGAATACATATTTCAAAAAAAAGTACTCCCTCGGTCCCAATTTGTAAGATACATTTCCTATTCACTTGGTCATTATAAATCACTCTTAATCTTTTACTTTATATATCAAAATTTTATGAAATTTGAATTACTTTTTGCTGGCTTTGTAGCGGTTTTAATGTTGTTTCTAAATATGTAAATTTTATTTTTTAAAACTAATTTGAGTGTTGACAGGGATCAATTTGTTTTATCGTCAATCAAACATCGTAAATATCTTACAAATTGTATCTTACAAATTGGGACGGAGGGAATATATAATTATAAAATATGACACAAAGGCTTGCGAATCGGCTCATGAGCCACGAGCCTAAATAAATAGGCTTGAATTGAGCTTGTTAACTATTCGAGTCGAACTTTTCTCGACCGATCCACGAGCAGCTCGCGAGCGGATCGGCTCATTTACACCCCTAGTTGTGGCATTTCCTACAGACGAACATGGTTGGACAAGGAAAATGACATTGACAAAATTTTTGAAGATTGTGAGAAGTCATATTTGTTAACATACCATATTATTTATGTATGCATGCATGGGCATACATACGTTGACCACCGCCTAGGCATATCTCTCGTAGTATTATTATTCCTCTATTATTGTTGTTATCATTATTCCCTTATTATTTGATATTATCCTATAGTATTAGCTAATCAAATTCTTATCCGTATGCTGTCCACATTCATTGTATAGAGAAGTACGGAAGCTATGCGATAGAATTGATAGTCGGTTAGTTACGTATAGCAATATAATTGTACAAAGTCTAACCCATGTTTAACCCTATTTAAAGGGTATTGATTCATCAATAATATCACGGTGAATTTTATCCCTCTTCTAACTTGGTATCACGAGCCCAGGTTCATCTCCTTCCATGGTTTCTCCCACCCCCAAACAGTCTTCTTTTCATCCCGCTCTTGCGGTCTCCAACATTAAAAATTTCATACCCATCACCCTTGATCTCGAGACTGTTGAGTATACCTCTTGGTCCGAGCTTTTTAAAATTACCGCTAGAGCATATCAAGTCCTCGATCACATCATCCCATCCCCTACCGATGAGGCATCATCTTCCGCTACCCCTCCGGCTCTCACCATCACTGAGCGTCTTGAACAAGAAGCTGCTCGGGCTGAAGCTTTGGCACTATGGACTCGTCTTGATGCCATAGTTCTCCAGTGGATATACGGCACTATATCCACAGATCTGCTTCATACCATTATCGAGGCGGATTCTACCGCCCAACAAGCTTGGGAGCGCTTATCCGACATTTTTCAAGATAACAAACAAACTCGGGCTGTTCATCTTGAAAATCAGTTCTCCCACACTAGGATGGATCAATTTCCTAATGTCACGTCCTACTGCCGTGCTCTTAAGTCCCTTGCCGACCAACTTGCCAATGTCAACTCTCCGGTGGATAATCATCGATTGGTCCTCCGCATGGTCTCTGGGCTTCCTCAAGAGTATGCTACGGTGGCTACTATTATTCAACAGTCAAATCCTCTGCCACTGTTTAGTACTGCTCGTTCCATGGTCCGGCTGGAAGAGACCCGTCAGGCGCAACAGACACCATCCGCCGCTGCTCTTGTTCACACCGGTGGTCCATCTCCTCCAAGGGATCCACCTCCCCCTCCACATCCATCCGCCGCCCGTGGTCGCTCCACTGTTACGAGAGATATGCCCAGGCGGTGGTCAACGTATGTATGCCCATGCATGCATACATAAATAATATGGTATGTTAACAATATTCAGAATTGCCTCATTTCATAGCAACGCTTCAACATTCCAACCCGGGGACAACTGTTTGGCAACTTATATGTTGTCATCCCGATTGGTGAATTATAATTCGTCAAACCGTTTGGTGACTTATAAGTTGTCATCCTGGTGGGTAACTTATAAGTTGTCATCCCGGTTGGCGACTTATAAGTTGTCATCCCGGTTGGCGACTTATAAGTTGTCATCCCGGTTGGCGACTTATAAGTTAGAGAAAACTATCATATAGGCTCTCGTACTATAGCCAAAACGTCAATTAAGCCCTCACCCTTCAAAAACAACCAATTGAACCCCTGAACTCTTTAAAAATGCTCAATTGGGCCGATTAGCCGGTAGCATCTCGGTTTTCCGGTTAACGACCCGCGTGGCAGCCTACGTGGCATTTTTTTTCATTTCCCTTTTCTTTTTCTTTTCCTTTTTTTCCTTTTCTTTTCTCTTTCTTTTTTCTCCTTTCTTTTCCTCGTCTCTTTTCCTCTTTCTGACTTCTCTTCTGTACAGGCCCCCCTCTGGACTTCTTCCCAGCAGCACTGCCGGCCACCGCCCTTGTGCCAGCGTCTGCACACCGAACTCACTGCCATGCGCCATCTTCCTTCTTCAATTTCTTTTATCCCAGAGATGCTTGTTCAAATAAGGGGGATTCAAGGTTTGCCTTCACCGCCGGTAACTGCACCCGCCACCGCCCGGAAGTGCGGCGGCCATCTCTGATGATTACGGCCGCCGCTGGAGTTGGAGTTTGCCGGATTTCGGAGTTGGAGTTCGCCGAATTTCTGGAGTAAAGTGAAGGGCGGCACTACAGTGAAGGGCGTGCGTCTGGGTGCGGTGAAGTCCGCCGGCGGCACAAGTGTGGTGGACTTCTGGTGGCGGCGTTCATGTTTGCAGAAGGTCGTGACTTGGGGCAAGCTAGAAGAAAGAGGGCAAGTCGTGTGACGTGGGGCGAGCTAGAAGAAAAAGGGAAGAGAAGAAGAAAAGGGAAAGGAAAGAAAAAAAAAAGAAAAAAGAAAAAAGAAAAAGAAAAGAGAAATGAAAAAAAATGCCATGTCCTCTAAAAAAAATGCCACGTAGGCTGCCACGTGGGTCGTTAACTGGCAAACCGAGATGCTACCGGGTAATCGGCCCAATTGAGCATTTTTAAAGAGTTCAAGGGTTTAATTGGGTGTTTTTGAAGTGCGAGGGCTTAATTGATGTTTTGGCTATAGTACGAGGGCCTATCTGATAGTTTTCTCTATAAGTTGTCATCCCGGTTGGCGACTTTGCTTAATCCAAATTATGTCGAACAATATATCTGTAAATACTTTTAACTCGATCTGTTTTATGTGAATAATTTTTTAATTCGCAAAAAAAACTCACTTTTTCAAACCTTTCGAAAAGAAAAAACTATGACCACATGGTCGGTTTCGGATTTGAGTTGGTTTACCTACCTACTACCAATCCATAAACACGAAAGACCTTTGAATTTGACACGCGTAGGGTTTAGAGTGGAGCATTTAGGCAAATGTGCTATTACTTCTCTATGTAAAATGCAAAAATGCTTGATGTACACAAAACACAAAATGTGTACACATTTCTATCCTTCACAGAAAATTTGTCTGTCACAGACAATTATTTTTTATTTGTCACAAAAAGATAAACATGTGTACACATTCTGTGTAAACAAAATGTGTACACCTGACCACTCATGTAAAATGTACTATCACGTAGTATTGGCCTATTGGGTATGCACTTCACATTTGCAGCGACGCGCAATTCATCATGACTGGGTTTACTGGTTTTAACTTTTAAGCTTTGTTGGTACACGAGTTGGGCGGCCTAGACTACATTCAAAAATGGTTGACCATGGCAATCAATGACACATTCATTAGGATTAATGCTAGCTAATTAAATCTGGGCAGTTTTATGTATATAATTAGAGTAGTTATTGTAATTATCACATAGGTTACTCAAAGGGCTGACCAGAATTGATGATGCAATAATGACGATATTGATGTCGTCGTAACGGTCGGACATGTCGTCGTAACGGTCGGAACATGTCGTCAACGGACAAAAGTGCATTAAATGTATCTCTTATAAATATCTAGAGGCTCTATGTAATCAGCACACTCAGTTACGAATACACATACACTCAGTCTTTACATTGTAATTCAAAAGCATATTGTGAAGATCCTTCTTCTTGATCATCATATATCAAATTCCTTTCTTTACCAATTCTTCCATAGTTGATTCTATATTGCTTGATTCCCGATCCAATTTCATATATATTTTAGATTAGTTTATTTTCGCATAAACAATTTGGCGCCGTCTGTGGGAAATTCTTGCAAAACAAGAATCAATTATGGCCGGAAGTTCTAATCCCTTGTTTGATGAGATTCAAGCGCAACTAGAAGCCGTCTGAGAGGAACTCCGTGCGGCCAAAAGTGCTGAAGCAGCACAATTAGAAGTTGTCTGGGAAGAGTTACGTGCAGCCATGGAGGCCAATCAGTCGAAGGAAGATGCTCAAACCCAGTTTGAGGCCGTAAGAGAAGAGATGCGTCAACGAATAGCTCTTCTCCAAGGAGAAAACGACGCATTGAGATCTCAGGTTCAGTCGGTGGCGTCCATAGCATCAAACTCGCGAAAAGGCAAAGAGGTGATGACCGCCGCATCAAGGTTGGACATGGATTCCATACCAATCACAACTTCAACAATCACATTCGCATCCGAGGCTTTCCCGGGACTTTCAGATTTTGACCCATACGCTTAAGGTTCCCCGGTGATCTCGCAGCTCATACCCTACGAAACTCTTGTCCCAACGACGACTCCAGAAGCAGGCATCCCCATGTGCTTCTTCCCGGATTCGTTGCGAACCAAAACGATGACATCAGGGTTGCAAACTGTCAACCAGCAGATGCCGATCCCTATCCCTGTGTCGACATCAACGGAGCCTTTCATTCCCCTTACACTGGCCGGTTCAACAGGTGCAAGGGGGCAATCATCTCGTCCTGCACCACCCCCACTCCCCAGAAGGAACGTGTTTCGCAATTTGTTTGTTGAACATCAAGGACGACACGTCTCCGAGCGTGACAACATGATCGGAGATGTCGACGTTGGCAATCCAAGACGACAACATCCAGAAACCATCATCATACATTCACCATTCGAGCAGAGGGTGTCTCAAGCAGGGACGCATTTCGGAATAGGAGGTCCGCAGATGCACATGGACATGACGGAACCTTTAGCCTTCATCATGCAGGAGTTAAGAGAATTGCGAGAAAAGTATAATGGCATGCCAGGGGTTCCCCGTCCCCTTGACATGGCGGCACGAACCTGTTATGCGGACTCCCCATTCGGACGACATATAGCCGACGTCGAGATTCCGAGGAAATTCACAGCCCCATCTATGAAGTTGTTCGAAGGAACCACAGACCCGGTAGATCACGTCGCCCAATACAAACAGAGGATGTTGGCAATTTCTGTCAGGGCGGATCAGCGAGAAGCTTGTATGTGCAGGGCATTCGGGACAACATTGACAAGTCCAGCGTTAACATTGTTCGTCAACTTGCCCAATGGGGGCATCGATTCCATTGCGGATCTAGTAAACTTGTTCACCCAGCAATTTACAAGTAGTCGTACGTTGGAGAAGCAAACCAGCGACTTGTATCGGAGAATTCAAAGGCATAACGAATCCTTACGTGACTACTTGCATCGATTTAACAAGGAAAAGGTGTCAATTCCAATATGTGACACGCCGACAGCTGTAGAGGCATTCAAGAGAGGATTGCGTGAAGACTCGGACTTGTATAGGGAACTGACAAAGTTTCCATGCAAGACGTTCGAAGATGTCCAGGCCATGACGTTGGCCTTCATCCGGCTTGAGGAGGATGAGCAATCTCGTCTTCATTCAAATGGGTATGAGGGTGGACAACGGAAAGCCAGCACCTCCAGGAAACATGACTACAGGGCAGGGAAGCCTTATGCGAAGAATGAAGATCGACCTGTAGCGTCAGCGACTACTTGGCTTGATGATCCTAGTCTACCTCCAGGAAACATGACTACAGGGCAGGGAAGCCTGCTGGACTTATCAATGCTCTGGACAAATTGGGGGATAAAGTCTGATGGCCCAGAAAGTCGGACAAATCCAGCGGACGAAGAGATCCCAACAAGAGATGCGACTTCCATAACGACATCGGACATAACACAGAAGATTGTGTCGCTCTGAGGAAAGAAGTCGCCTATCTCTTAAGGAACGGCTATCTGACGGAAATCATGTCGGAGCAGACGAAGTCCATGTTGAATAGAAACCAGAAGTCGTCTACAGAACGGCAACGACCACCTTCACCTACAGCACCCCAAAAGGTAATCAATTTCATTAATGGTGGTTCTGATTTGTGTGGACTAACCTACTCTGCAGCGAAGAGACAGGCTCGGGAATACTCCCGAGACAAGTCATCACAGGTGAATCAAGTCGTCCGAAAGGAAGAAACTTGGAGAAGTGCACCTATCACCTTTGACGAGTCAGACTTTGCAAATCCTACTGATGCCCACCATGATACCCTAGTCATTGCTCTTAGGGTGGCAAATTGCGAAGTAAGGCGAGTTTTGGTAGACAATGGTAGCACCGCCAACATCACAACTTTGAAGACGCTAAAACAGATGGGATACAGAGAGGAAGACTTGGCTGTTTCTGGCTCCACCCTTATTGGATTCAACGGCGAGCCAAGTCAAATGATAGGTAATGTTTCCTTACCCGTACATGCTGTTGGTCTTAATTTGCAGGTAAAATTCGATGTTGTCCAAGATTTGCCCGCCTACAACATGATACTTGGGACGCCCTGGCTACACCAACTGGGAGCAGTCCCATCAACGTACCACCAAGTGGTGAAGGTTCCAACGCCGTGGGGAGTGCAATCCATACAAGGTGATAGAGTCGCTGCCAAATCATGCTACCAAACAGCAATGAAGCCAACCGCCTCTGCCACCACATTTGCATAGCAATTAAAGGGCGACTTCATTCCAGTTGGAGAAGATGACAACAACACTAAAGGCATCAACATTGATCCAGACCACCCGGATAGAGTCGTCCGCATTGGGGGCAACATGCCGACTCAATTGGAGAAAGAACTTGTGACTTTTCTGAAAGAACATAAAGATGTCTTCGCCTGGAGTCATGACGACATGACTGGTATCGATCCGCGAGTGATCACCCATAAGCTTAACGTCAACCCCTTACACAAGCCAGTCCAACAGAAGAGACGATGCTTCGCCAGAGAAAGGAACGACATCATCAACCAGGAAGTCGAGACACTGCTACGCACTGGTAAGATTCGCGAGGTAAAGTATCCGATTTGGCTCGCTAATGTTGTTGTTGTGCAGAAAAAGAAGGGTCACCAGAAAGGCAAGAAACCAAAGTGGAGGGTGTGCATCGACTTCACTGATCTGAACAAGGCTTGTCCAAAAGACATGTTTCCGATGCCACATATTGACATCCTCGCGGATGCCACAGCGGGACATGAGATGTTGACGCTCATGGACGCTTTCAGCGGCTACCATCAAATTCAATTGCACCCCGATGACCAGGAGAAGACTGCATTCATCACGGAGACAGGTACATATTGTTATGTTGTTATGCCATTCGGTCTAAAAAATGCAGGTGCCACTTTCCAAAGATTGGTAACGACGATCTTCAAAGAACAACTTGGGAAAACTATGGAGGTTTACATCGACGACATGTTGGTTAAATCCAAAATGGCATCAGACCACATCGAACACCTGCGGAAATCATTCCTGAAATTGCAAGAGTACAATTTAAAGCTTAATCCTGCCAAGTGCACATTCGAGGTGTCGTCAGGAGAATTCCTAGGATACATTGTCAGCAAAAGAGGGATAGAAGCTAGCCCGGGGCAGATACGAGCCATACTTGACATTGAATCTCCCAAATCAATCAAAGATGTCCAGAAACTGACAGGACGAGTTGCTGCGCTCAACAGATTCATATCGAAGTCGTCAGACAGATGTCGACTTTTTTATGATGTCCTCAGAAAAAATAGGAAATTCGAATGGACGGAACAACACGAAAAAGCTTTACAACAATTGAAGGAATACATGACAACAACGCCGCTGCTGACAAAACCTAAAGATGGCGAGGAACTACAGTTGTATCTAGCAGTGTCAGAACATG